CATAGTAACCTGGGAAAACAGCATTGTACTATCTTAACCAGTAGGACCTGACTTAGCATCTTATTTCCAGAAACTCTGGGTGATATTCATTGTATTCTTTACATTTGTGAGGAACACAGAAACTTTAGAAAAATCCTGAAGAATTCTTTGGGAATCAACAGCTCCTGAACACTCCCTGGGGATTTTCTATCCCATGCTGATCAGTGGAACACTCTCTGAGGTATGTTTTATATCTGCACTGTCCAAAGTGGTAGTACCTAGCTTTATAGGCTACAGCGCACTTGAAATGTGCCTAGTGAGACAGAGGAACTGAATTTTAAATTGTATTTAATATCAATAAGTTTCAATTTAAATAGCCATGCGTGGTTAGTGGGTGCCGTATTGGCTAGCACGATTCAATATTTTTCTCTCTCAGTCATGTAAGATAGAGTCATTACTAGTCAGAGAAAGACTACAAGTCTGGAATCCTCTGAGTAGAATCAGGGTCTGCGGAGAAAGCTGGAAAAGAGACAAGGATTGATTTTTTTCCTCTGAAGTCAGAAGTATTATATCTTAGACATATAAAACAAGGAAGTTAAAATTTGTTGCTTCGAATAAAAATGAATAAATAATTCAGCAGAGAAAGTATGAATTCTCTTCATCGGCTGGCACATACTCTTGCACAGAGAATGAAAATACAAAGAATATTTGTATTTACTTTAATTTAAATAAATTTTTGATACAGCTTTTAAAAGGCTTCATAATGAAACATGCTTTTAAGTACCTTATTTTTAGTTAGGTTCTAAAAATACAAACCTTTAATCAGTTCAGTTCAAGATAAAGTAGATTTAAAAACACATTGCAGTCTGAACTGACTTTCCAGAATAATAAAAGGCCTCATGAAACTTTTTACCCCAAGAATTGTCATTTTAAATTCTTAGCAGGTCTGTCATTTAAATCAGGCACTGTGCAATTTTCTATCACCTATATATATAAAAAAATCCTGTCTCTTCTGCTTTGTGCTCTGCCCAGCTTCAGTTTTTATCTCATTCTCCAGTGCCCTCCTGAGCTGCCTCTTCTTACTGAAAATTACCCAATTCATTTTAAAGATTAAATATTTTTTTAAAAGAAAGATTATCTAAAATTTGCAGAGAAGCTAACCAGAATATCATAAACAATGCCTCAGAGGATACTTCCTGATGAATAAACACTAGTTATTTTTAGAGGCATCTGGATTGGTCTGTTAGCAGACAGATCACTAATGGCAATACTCAGCGGCTTTGGGAACTGGGATATACAACAGAATATGAGTGTAAGATGGCCAAGCGGGTGGGAAGAAAACAATGCTCAACTTTCCTTTTTTAATCTTTTCATTTTCCCCCCTCATTCATGCTCAAAATTTAGAGGTAAAATTAAAGTTGAGAGTGATAAAATGCAGATACTGTCTATTTTGTCACACTAGACTTGAGGGCACTGACTGACACACTTCCATAGACCTTAAACTGTTAAGATAGTGATTTTTGTTTGATTTTTTTAAAATACCAAGATTCAAACCAACAGAGTAGTTTAGCTATGTCAGGAGATGATGTATACCATTATAACCCAATTGTTTTATATGCTATAATCAATTATGACAGATTTATGGTAAAAAGAAACAAGTTTAGATTCAATATGTAAAAACTAATGGAAGTGTTAATATGGTGCTGGTTAGCAGAAAATAGAAAAAGTAGTTTGTTGCTAAGACTGAATTTAAACCAGGCATACCCAAAGAATGTAGCTCATGGGGTCAATAAAAGTATGAATTAGCCTTAAGAAACTATTTTTTAAAAATTATTTTCTAGGTACGACAGAATCATGATCATTTGTTATGTAACTGGTTATATTTCTAATCATCTATAAATTTGGTTATTTTCTAGAATCAAAATACATTTTTTTGTGTTAGTATAGAAAACAGGATAAAAATTTATGTTCTACAATATTTTATTTGTGAAGAATTGATATAACAACAGAGAATATCAATTCTTAACATTAAAATTTAACATCAGTGAAACTTTTAAAAATGAATGAAAATATTTACTTATATTCTCATGATCAAAACATTTGACTTTTAAGTTGAATATTCACCCAATTACTTTAGTCTTGTATATGAATTGCCATTTTGGGAAATTACAAAGCAAAATTTAAATTAGGTAAATAAATACTTGGAAATCTTTATTTCTTCTACCTGTGACTCAACCCTATATTCATGAGAATACATATAGTAAAAAAAAAAAAAAAAAGCAAATTTCAAAGAAGTTATTGTAGTTTCCATAATCAAGTATTATGAGGCAAGGTTTTCTACCCTGATATATTTTTTCATAGAATCTTGAGACTAGAATACTTACACCACATGCTCACTGTCTTCCTCCAAGAAGAGGAAGCTCTATGGTTGTCAAGTCCTATGACATGGATAACATGCATGTGTATTACTTTGTTGCTCAATAATGAATCCACCTTTAGTATATTTAAATAACAGTTCCATCACAAATTCATACACCTTTCTCTAAAAAGTTCAAAGTGAGCTTAATAATATATCCATTCAATGCTCACAGCTTCTGTAGATGATAGACGATACTGAGTATGCAAATAAAGCGTTTCTATATTCAGCTCTAGTCAGATTAAATTTTATAAAAATAACTACTGTGCTACATTCCAAGTTGTGGTATAGAACACAGCATTCTACATAGTGCTGGCTCAATAAATATGATAATCATAAAACTCATAAACAGTTAATTTCATCAATTAACCTGGGTTCAGTGTTTTCTAACAATTGATTAGAAGGTGATATTCTATAGATAAAAACATGGTTTTGTCTGTTAATTTTGCCAACAAACACCAAATGGAGTTTTGAATCTTGACAGAATAACACTTGTATCAGAAAAACAAAATCAGGATCTGGAAATTAAAGCCAATTATCGATATTTAATTTCAGAAAATTTATATGTGTTTTAATGAACCCTCCCATCTCCCCACACCCCCAAAAAGAATAAAACAAGATTCAAACAGGAAGTTTATATGAGCAAGATTTAAATGAATCAGTTCCTAACAACTGTTAAGTACAACCTTTTGGAAATTAATTTGCATAATGATAATCTACGTGTGGTAGGGTTGAAATTATTTAAACGACATTATATTTCACTATTTAGTCTTGCTTCACCACTGCTTTAGCAGTGAATCTTTATAAAATGTAATGCAGCTAATGAGGTAGCTTTTTAACTGAACAAACTGACAGGCCCCATATCTGCAGAGGCAGCTTGAAACCGTGCCCAACCTCTTGGCTTCCCAAGAGGCTTTTCAAAATTCAATAAATAACATCTGTAGGCGATGTTGGGTGCAGACCTAGCAGAGTGCGTCATAACACTGTGCTGGCAGAACAAAGAAACCATGACGACTGCCAAGTTTCCATGGCAACTGCTGCGAGGCTCTGAGAGTATAATAGCACATCAATCACTGTCCAAAAGAACTTCATTATCAGCTAGAAAAAACCTTTAGGATCTGTTTAGTGTGCAATTGTGGGTTAACTCACCTCAAAGCCTTGCTCTCTAGCAAAAGTGGCAGCTTCCTGAAATAAAAAAAAAAAGAACAGTTAATTATAAAGTGCTAGGTAATGAAGAAATAGTCCATTTTGAAACTCATTCAAACAGTCTCTTTTTTTACACAATTATCTCAATATACCCGCATAGTTCAATTTTTATTCTTACACCAAAAAAGATTTCTTTTTTCCTTGGTATAAAAAAAAGGGCAGCATAATGTCAACACACTTCACAAGTTGGAATAAAGAAGATGTAGTACATGTTTTTACTGTAGCTGTCACAATGAGTTCAGGTGTTTTGACCCCAAAAAAGAAAGACAATCATTTGAAACCTAAGGAACATGCTGGTGGTTATGTTTTTAATTAAAACAATACCTTTCAGAAAGCTCTTCTGTAGAGAAGAATGCCTGCTAGTAAATGTATAGATTCAGAAAAATCACTACTTTGTAATCTCTAATGAGATTTATTTGGCAAGGGTCGTGAATGGATGCTAAATTCATTAGGTGACAAGATGATGGCAAACTGGGTATTTCATGGAATCAAAACATCACAGATTACATGTTGGTCGCAGGGAGTAAAGTATAACTTTATAATAGAAGGATCAAGCTGCCATCATTACCTTAACCCAGAGATCAATCCTATCACTTATCATTAATGGTGGGATCACCAAATATTCCGTACCTCCTGTGATGATGCAGTATAAACTACACAGCATCACATATAAAGTTTTCTGACAAAACAATTTTTTAAATAAACTCATCAAAACTTTAATTCAAGAACTTGCAGTCTACAGAAAACATGGAGGATAGGAGAAACAAATTCAATGATACACTGAGAAAGCAAATGGACACATTCATAAGGTAGGATGTTCTACAGGAAAAAGAGCTTGGTCTCCTCAAAACGTCGATGTCATGATAAAGTGGGGAGGGGAAAAATGTTTTGAACAAATCAGCTATGTAAGACATTTTTGGGACAACTGGAGAAATTTGGATATGAAATGGGAATAAGATAAGATCAAGAGTCATCAATTTGGTAAGAAAAATGTCCTTAAGTTTTAGTAGTTAATCCTGAAGTATTTAGGGATAAAATGGCATGATATATGTAATTAACTCTAGAAGTCTTAAAAAAAAATTAAAGTGAAGCAAAAATGGCAAAACATTAACTTTTAAATCTAGACATGTTTAGTATTTCTATTTTTTGTCTATTTGAAATTACTATAAAAAGCAATCCAAACAAACCCCTCTTTTCCTTTGATATAAGATGACAGGGTAACAAAAGTTGAACATTAAAAAAGATCATTTAAGTTTTTTAATACACAATGTTTTTCTAGATATTAAATATATTAAGGGTACAAGCTGATGAACATTATTATATACCCTAATGCTCTAATAACAGGCTATCAAATGACAAAAACACATCTGTGCAACTAAATCTTTTCCTTTTTTTTACCCTTTGCTTTGTGCCTATATTTTAATTTTAGGACTGATACAGAAAATGGAGGCAATATTACTTTTCAACTCCACTTCCCCCTTGAAAATGAAAAAAACTGCAGACAACTGTCAAGAGCCTCTACATCTTAACTTACATTCCTCCAGAATTATCTTTGCCAAGAGATATTAATAGAAGGATGGGATTTGAGCCCGAGTAGTGAGCAGATCCAACCCAACGAAAACGACTGCTGTACCCAACCATGTAAGGCAGAAAGTACAGTCGATGTCTCTAGCACAAATTTGGGTACTATCTACATGTTAAAGAAAACACTGGGGAGAAAAGTAAGTATGTACTTATGATCCAATACACTAATAACAAAGATTTAAAGAACCATTTTGAGGGTTTAAAAAGGCTGAAATAGATGATTACAGCTGAACATGGAAGTTAATAGAAAGTGATGAACTGAAAGTACAACTCCTTAGGTTGTTCACTAGAGAAGCATAGGCTGATCGAGTTAGCCTTGGTAATGTAGATTAAATTAAAAAACTCAATTATGATCTTGACAATTGGTGCAAGCAAGGTTAGCCTCTTTGACAATTTATTTACAATAGAACTATGTCTACCACATAGTCAGTAATATTGGTACAAAAGATATCAAGGTAGCATTTTTCCAAGCTGTCCTATTCAAGAATTAACCAAGCTAATTCTTATATGAAAAAGATAACTGAAAAGCTCAGCTGGAACCACTTATTTATAAGGAACTTTCAGAGGCATGAAAGAATTACAGAGTGTGAAGAATCAGTATGACTAAAATTGCACTAAGACACAAAAACTCAAAGTTCACATATAGTAGTTTTATTGCTTTTTTAATGTCTAGTTTTGCTCATAGAAATCTAAGCAGCAATTAACTGTGATCGGTTATGGTAAAGTAGAACTGACTAATTGCAAGATACACACAGAAATGTCAGATTGCTATTCTTTAAGGAAACCAGGCCCTAGGACACTTCCCCGTCTGTAAACTATCCCAAGTGCCAGCATATTTCTGACTGAGAAAGGACATGCTGAAGAAAAGTCAACTCAATTTTCTATTTTAGAGCGCCCTCACACAGGTTTGCAAAACTGTGCCCTATCACTGAAAAGCTAAGCACTTGCTCTATGGCTAAAAAGATCTTATCTTGTAACTTCCTCCCACCTTCCTCCTTTGATCTTGGACTGGTGCCCCTAGTCGCTCCATTAGAGAAGGCAGATGGCTCACATCACTGCAGACTTTCCCACAGCTAACCTCTGATCTGAAGGTGTCTGCAGATACATCGACGGAACATTTATTTTTCCCTCTCAGCAAAACAAATAAAACAATATAGGGCAACAGTCTGACCCAGAAGAATTTTAAGCAGAATTTTAGTCCTCAGATTCACTGCGTAGAATGGCAGAAAGAAAAAGCATTAAGTCATAAAGTAGGGAAGAAAAAAGGGGCATACATGGTGGGCAGAAGAGTAAGGCACATTCCAAATATCAGGGGTAATTCCAAGTGAACTGATCACACTAAATTGAAAAGGACTTTTTAGTGTGCCTTTGCAGTAAAAGTGAGAAAAGAAAACAAGCAAGTCCCCATCTGTGCTGCCCCAGGGCGCCACGTACTGAGTTTCACAAATCTAATGAAGCAGTCAGGTTAAAATCCAACCACAGAGTGGATGTGACATGTGGAGAACAGCTAAGGTTAGAATAGAGAAGCAGGGCGGTTCCTAATGCAGGTGATTATCCATGTGATAATCATTATATTTACAGGCTTTCCATTTTAGATCTGACATCAAAAATCACAAAGGAGGAGAGATTAAGGAAATAAACAACTGACACAGAAGCTTTCCTGCTCCCCTGAGAGAGTAGCACTTTCATTCATGCATGACAAGCAACAAAAGCAAAATCAAACAGGCCAGGAAAAAGTACTTTAGAGAAGGCGGGATTTCACATTAATACTTCTTTCCATTTTGATAACTTTCACTATTATTCAGTTTCTCAGGTCACATTTTAGAATCAGTTCCCACTGTCATCTATGCTATCATACAGTATCATTTCTGGTTTCCAATGAATGATACTCACATAATATGTCTTTTACAACAACAAAGTCATTTTTTCCTTCCTAGAATTGAGTGTTGTGAATAAAATGACATATAATTAAAGTCTTAGACTCTCAGCTACACCACGCTATTTAGGGTTTGCAGTAGGCTTGCTGCTTCACCAATCAGGCTAAAAAAGGTGCTAGTGAAACAATAACCAAGTATAGTTTTTTTTTGAGTGGAGGTTTTTAAAAAAAGATGAAATTCATGGTTAATGAAAACCCTGGGATATTTACATTAAGAGCCTAGATAAAGGGATTAGCAAGCCACTCTTTAAAAGCACATCCTCAGATTATATAGGAAAGAATGGAGAAACTTTTTTTTTCCTTTTTTTATGTTAGATTTTTTTTTTTTTAAGAATGGAGAAACTTAAGTGCTTGTTTATGTATATATATGAAAGACAAATATTTCCTTTATAGTAGTTCCCCCCTTACCCACGGTTTAGCTTTCTGTGGTTTCAGTTACACATGGTCAATGGGCAGTCTAAAAATATTAAATGAAAAATTTCAGAATTAAAAAATTCTTAAGTTTCAAACTGAGCACCATTCTGAGTAGCATGATGAAACTTTACACCATCCTGCACCATCCAATCCAGATGGGAAGCATCCCTTTGTCCAGCTTATCCATCGTGTATAGGCTACTTGCCCATTAATTACTTGGTAGTCATCTTAATTATCAGATTAACTGCCACAGTATCGCAGTGCTTGCATTCAAGTAATCCTTATTTTACTTAACAATACCACATTCACATAGCTGTTATTAAAGTAATATTATTATAACTGTTATATCTTATTAGTTATTATTAATAATCTTACTATGCCTAATTTATATATTAAACCTGTTGGAGGTATGTATGTATAGGAAAAAAACAGTATATATTATATAGTATATATGTTTGATATTATCCATGGTTTCACACATCAATCGGGGGTCTTGGAACATACCCTCCTCAGATAAGGAGAACTACTGCATTCGATTGAGGAGAAACCTATTTTCTTTACATTTGTCTGATAACATCCCAGTTTTAATTTATAAAGTAGAATTATTTGTAATTGATATTAAACTAAAACCATAACATCCATAGTCTTATTTCAATTTCAATGATTTATTTCCAGTTTTACAGAAATATAAATGATTCCTGTATATTGACCTTGTATCCTGGATTGCCAAATTCACTTAATTAGTTGTAGTAGCTATTATTTTGCTTCTGTTAAGAAAGGTAGTTTTCTATGTTCCTGCTTACCACACCACAAAGTTATTTTGAGAAAGTAGCAAATGCCTTTTAAAAAATTCACCTCTCTTTTTCCAGGGTGATCTGAAAGGTATAAACTAAGTACCACCACTACCGTAGCTTATAACCCTTGCCTTCCCATTTCCTGGTCTGAACTACCGAACACAGAACTATTATCTGCTTGCTTATGTTATACCACTTTACTCTGTAATCGCAGACATGAGGATTCCTGGGCAGAGGCTAAAACTTCATGA